GTTTTAGTCTTTGGGTCAGAAAACCTCAGCACAATGCGTAGATTCATCCGCTTCACATCCTCTCATTACATATAATTTCCCATCGAGGGCGCACGTAACGGCATTCTTACGAGCCACCATCATGCTAGGGGCTTTGCGCTGTTTGCAAATAAGCTTATTATAGACCCATACGTCGTCGAGGGCATCATGTTTTGTCCACCGATTTCGTATGTTTCTGAACCAACAGTTTCGTGGAGTATTTGTAAGCAACGAGAATAGGAATAAGGCATTGGTAGCAACCAATGTCCGGTACACTTGATGTCGATCGTCCAATGGGTTAGGGGTTGATGATCATAGGGTTTTATCCAGGGACAGAACCATCTACGACCAATCCCTTTATTTAATTAACATATCAAATCGAACCCAGTCAAAACCGGTTTGATCATTACTATTTCAACCTTCTTCTTTCTTTTAAAATGGTTTTCGATTTAATTTTTTTTTTTTTAATGTGAGAACAAAACTGGAGACTTTTACATTAAAGCCATGCATTTACCTTCAGTTCAGTATATATGCGTCTTGATGTATATGTTTTCAAAAATAAATCGAGGAATTTAAACGTTGATTAATCTTGATTTGATTTTCCCCTACGTTACCGAGAAATAGTTTCAAGACAATTGCAATGAAAAAGTGTGTTACTTGCAGTGCCGGTCCGAGCATTTGTGAGGCCCTACACGAAAAATAAAATGAGGCCCAATATATTTATAAGTTTTAGAGCTAAAAAAATTTTTTTGACCTATTTTTAGTAAATTATACAAAAATAATGATATTTTGAATATTATTACATTCAAATTTAATTGTTTGGGCCCTATTTTATTTATTTTTTTCAAAAAGGCTTTAGTTTCTACCAAATATTTTCATTTTATGGGCTTAATTCTTTTTTTTTTTTTATAAAATTGGGCCCTTTTCCAAAAAAAAAAAAAAAAAAAACCTTTAAAAAAAAAAAAAAATGTGGTGCCCCAAGCGGTGGCTTGGGTGGCCTGTCCTCCGGGCCGGCTCTGGCTCACTTACTTGCATTCCCTGCATTTGTATATGCTTTAATAGAGTCTTATCTATCTAGTAGCTTTGCTTCACTGTGTAAATCACGAAGAAGCTGGATTAAACCGGTTTATTTTATGCATTGTGTTTTGGTTAACTGGTTCGATTAAGATGAGTGGTAACAGAGGTTTGGGTTCAATTTTATAATTCATGCAAATATATTTTAGAAGGTTACAAAAGATGTTCGTAAGTTGTTAGATAAACAAACACATTGTGACTTTTATCACAACCATAAGATTTGTTGAGAAATGATCATCTTGTGACTTTTACACATATATTCTTTTCTCTAAATGATCTATTCTTTTGTAATAAATATAATCAAACTGTTGGTGTCTCTGTAGACATTCATAATGGATGACTGGGACTCAAGTCACTCAACAAACAACCCCTTGTGATTGTGTACTTTCTACCGACCATATGCATAATCATACTTCATAGATAATTTGTTTTTTTTTTTTTTTCATCTGAATATTATTAATAAAACTTTGAAGAACGACTGGCGAAAATAGTTAATATTACTGGTAAGATAAGTTGATGAAAACTAATAATATCCTCAGAAAGAATAACCCAAAAAAATATAAACAAGAACCCAAAATTAAAGAATCATACAACCAAAAAAAGTTACAAGACGATACACTAAGAATCAAAGCCAAAATTAGGACTTCCGATTGTATACCTTCAACGACCGATGCAAAATGGGAAATCATAGAAATAAGCGAGCATAGAAATCATAGAAATAAGTCAGGCTATGATTAAAGAGAATTTGGTTGTCGTTCTATCAATTTTAAAGTATTTATTGTTTATTGTTAGAAAAAAAATATCATTTAGGTGTGTGTGTTTGTGTATATATTTTTGTTAAAAATGATTTGAGTGTGATATCATTAATTTGAAGGAAAAAATTTATAATCAAGAAGGCAAGTGCCAAAGCACACATGACACATTCATTTGAAAGTTTGGTCTCCAATCCTCAATTTAAATCGAACGACCACTAAACTAATTAAATATTATTTTATCGTAGATAAATTTTTATCTATATAGATGTTAGTTTATTTAAGAACTATCTTTGTTCAGATTATGGCTTACAACCACTGAGTCAACTAATATACAAACACTCTTTGCCAGACTGTTTATTCTTCGTAATTAATTATGTGATCACATTTATTAATCCTGCAACAATCCACGTAATGCAGTTGATAGTACACGTACTTAACTTATGAAAAGTATAAAAACTAATTTGTCTACAAGTCAAATAGATATTTCTACTTAATTAAGAGCTATAATTTCTAAAGTTCTTTATTTGAGGTCAAAGCACAATGTCTGCTTCTTTATGTATGTTAGTGCATCATAACTTCCATTGGTGCAACTAGAATGCGACAGATTATTTATACATTATACTCTCGCCGTTTCGTTTTAGTTGTCGTTTAAGGTTTTCGCACACAAATTAAGAAAATCATTAAATTTTCTGTTTTACCCTTTATTAATATATTTTATAATTTTTTCATTGGTCAAAACATTAAAACATTAAAGACAAAACATAAATTTTTACCAAACATTTGCATTGAAAACCTAAAACGACAACTATTATGAAACAAAATTTTAATCCTAAAACGACAACTAAACTAAAACGGAGGGAGTAGTAATTAGTTATGCATTCATCATTATTCTTATTCAAATATGTTGAGAATCGACGATTGGCGCTATACTAAAATATAGCCGATTTGATACAAGAATAATTTGATATATTAGGAATCTGATTACGTAGAAAAATCTCGATATGTTGTAAAATTAATTGAATAAAATCCATCTTTTTACGAACAAATTTATAGAGTAAAATTAATTGAATAATATTTGATACTTTTATAGTTTTATTGAACTATAAATTTCAGAAAAATCGAACTATAACATCAAGTAATATGAGAAAAAAAAATCAACTATATATTCACATCTGCAAGTTCTCCATGGACCATGAATACCATCTTATGTAAAAACATAATAATACTATCTCATTACACGGACCGGCATATTCGGGACCATCGATCATGTAATATCAATATTATTCTAGATTTAGAAGATGAACGTGAAAATCATGGAGCATGGTACATTTCAAAGGACGACAATATGACGTAAAGTAATACAAAGTCCCCAAAACAAGTAAACATAATAATAATGCTCAAATGATGTTTGTTTACTTTATAGAGTATATACTCATCATTTGTCACCTATCTGTAATATATAAAGTAAAATTCTACAATTAATTAAAATTTAGAGAAAAAACGAACGCAGAGTATATCAGATATCTATGAGAAGAAATTTCTTACCGAATTATATCATATGTTGTTGTTGGTTCACTTGTCCAATGTCCATTAGATATTATACTATTTGCTTTTATTTTTTTTTCTTTAGAAAGAAAATATCTGAACATAAGTACATAATTTAAATAAAAATGATAATAAGACAGAAGAAAGTGACTAGCAATTGATAGCCCGTTTGATATTGTTCATCGAGGAATCAATTACAGCTGTTCCTCAATATTCTCAATCATGGTATATTATAATATCATAAAAGATTGATTTATATACCTCACCAGTGAAAATTTAGATAAAATAATAATACGTTGAAAAAGTAATATAATTACAGCGACGATGGCCACATACATAATTCACGGGTGATGATGGTCAAAGTCGTCCGTCAAATTATTTGAAATAAAGTCGGGGTTTTCTTTTTTCACAATCTAATAAGTTAACTTTAAAAAAATATGACTATAATTGATTGTGGCGATACTACAGCTAGTCATCATTGATATGGTTACCGAGTCTACGAAAAAAAGATGTGGTAGGTGTAGTTAATATAGCCACAAATTCTTGATTTTTTTGTTAGGATCAATCACACTTGTAGTAATCTAAATTTTTGAATAATCATTGGTTGACAAATAAACAGATAAACCTTTTTCGATCGTTTAGGATAATTAACTTTTTTTTTTTTTTTTTTTGGCGGAAAAGAAAAAAATAGGATAATTAACATTTTCTCAGATAGTCAGTCAGATACACATATTTACGACTAGTGACAATAACGTATTTAGTCCTAAGTGCATTTTGAGAGATTCATGGCTAGTTGCACCAAATTAATTGATTTTTGATTTCTTTTTTTCTGTCAACATGTGTAGCCCATTTGATAACTAACCGGTACGGTAAAAACCAGTTTACTTTGGTATTTAATTAATTTATATTGTTTGGTTTACCTTTTCACCAAAGCATATGGAGTTTCTTTGACCCAACTAGCTAGTCACGGGACTTTAAAGCATGTTAAAATTCCAATATTTCGAAAACCCCAAATCATTAATTCTTAGGATGGTGCAATGACTTGACTAACTGCACATAATAATATCTACATTATAGAAGTAAAAATCGTATACAGAAGATATATGAACAATAATCTTGATTTGAACAACAAGTTTAATAGTTTGACTTTTACATATTTAGATTCAATTCTTGTGAAACAAGTTATTTCTGTCATCCTTATTGGTAAATAATCCTTATTTGTAATACAAGAAACAATCACCAAATTGTAGAATATTGCTTTGGGATGTCTTCAATATTATCAATACGGTTCACTAAAACAGATATTTTATATAACAAGAAAACTATATTCAAAAAACAAGGGAAGTCTCAATCAGTTAACATATCCATAAGATATTTTCGGGAAAAACAGAAAATAATACATGAGAAACTTATATAACATTTCTCCCCTGTTTTTTAAAATTCAATTACTAACTTTTCCCATCTTCAACTAAAAGTAGAAACTCCAAAAAGCTAAATTAAAATTAAGAAAAAATTGAAGTTTTTTTTACACTTGGTGCTTTCTCCTCTTAATCCCATTTGGGGAATTTTTTCCTACCAAAATCTTGAACAATTATTTTTTCTCCATCTCTAAGAAATAATTATTTATTCTTCATCTCTAATCTCCTCTTTCCAAATATGGAAAGCTAAAGGGTAATTCTGTCATTCTACACTTCAATCTCCGACTTCCGGGCCAACACAATGGGCAGTCCGTTTTGGGGAAGCGCGAACGGCCCATACTGAATCCCGTCGCTCGCTCCAACAATTGACCAACTGAAATTACAAAAATACCCCTTATCAAAAACAATTCTACACATAAGTTTGAAGGAAAAAAACAAAGTGAAAGAGAAGGTAATAAGTGAGTAGTACACACACACCTGTACTTGGTGGTGAGATGATGAATCATAATAGACATCTCAAGCTTTGCTAATTCATTTCCAGGACACGAGTGGGTTCCATTGCCAAATGGCATGAAAGTATTGGGTTTTGGAGCCACCTATATTAGCAACCAAATAATGTTAAATGTAACATCATACTCCAAAACATTAAAAACAGTACTATCATTCAAAAAAATGATAATTACCTCAAATCTTGATGGATCAAATTTCCCCGGATTTGAAAAAATATCAGCACTATGATGAATGTTTCTGAAAAGCGGTAACACTTTCCATCCTTTAGGTATCAAATACCCTGTAAAACCATAGAAATATTAGTTCGAAATTCGACTTGGGATCATTCGATTATTTATCGTTTAATCGTATATTAGCACCTTCGTATTCGACATCTTCGACAGCTTCTCTGAATGTGAAAGATAAGATTGAAGCGACTCTTAATGTTTCTTGAATAACTCTTGAAGTTAATGGCATCTTCTTTGTATCTCCCCAAGTTAGAGCCTCTCCTTCTTCTTTGTCTTTCCTTATTGCCATTTGTTCTTCCTGTTAAAAACACCAAAACTACCCATTAGAACACAAACAAAACTACGAAACTGCCACTGGTCTGTTTTATTACCAAAAGACGACAAATACGTGTCCGTATATGTACTTACAGTAACGGCTTCTAGAACGTTGGGATTCTCGGCTAAGTACTTGAGGATCCACGACATCACACTCGCCGTCGTGTCTCTAGCGGCGAAGATCACTCCGATTATGTTGTCGGCGATCTGTTCATCGGTTAACTCTTCTTTGTCTCCCATGAATGATCCGAGAAGATCGTTGTGTGAAGAACCGTTCTGTCTTCTCTCTGATAAGATTCTAGCGAGGATCTGTGAGAGCTCCTTGCGAGCTTTCATGGATTTGTTGAAGAGTGTTCCAGGGAGATTCACTGGCATCGAATTGTAACCTTTCTCGAGAATGTAGTAGCATCGTTTTAGATCTTCTCTGTATAAAACCTCGTCTTTTCCGAAGATCGATAGCAACGCAACGTTGAAGGTGTACTGATCAAACAAAACAAGATCAAAGCAGAGGAAATTAGCGTTATGCTCTGTTTTCAAAAACAGGGGAAAAAAACAGAGGACAGAGAGATGGAGCTTACTGTTTTCATTTCTTGGTAAGTGTTGATCATTGTTCCTTCCCAAATTCGGAGAGAATCTTGAGCGATTGATTCGATATCAGGAACCATGTTTCTGATAGATTCAGGCATGAAAGCACGAAGAACAAGCTTCCTGAGTTTAGCGTGATAATCACCTTGGTGGAAGAAGATGGCTTGTTTCCCCAACATCCTCTCTTTACTCGCCGGAAAAGTTGGTTTAAAGAGATGAGATTTCGTCACCAGCACGAACTTGGCAGCTTCTGGACTCGAGATCATCACACATGGACATCCCAATACATGGGTCTTAAACACCGATCCATACCTGTTATAAAAACATCATCAAATCTATTAAATTTTGTTTTCGAAAGTATCCATTAATAATAACAATTTGTAGGTTCTTATTAAAGAACCGACCTTTTCTGTTTTGTTTGGAAAAAGACATTTGGGTCTTGAGAATAAAGCTGGAAAGTTTCTCCGACGTAAGGCCAACCCATTGTTCCCGGAGGGAGTGGGAGTTTGGAAGATCCAAGGCGGTGCTGAGAGATTAGACACCGGAGAAAGTAAAGGAAGAGACTTCCGGCGAGGAGAGTGAGAAACAAGGCGGAGAAATCCATTTTTTTCTTAATAACCTCAAGTTTTTTGTTCTTTGATCAGAAAAACCCACTTCGTGTTTTTGACAGTGGGAGTAGCTGAACAACGAAGAACTTGTGACTCTAAAATTATAAGAAAAACAAAAATGAAATTTTTGTGTGTTTTGTTATAATGTAATGGAAGAAATGTTTGTGATGCAAAACAAGTGGGAGATGTGAAGGGGTTTTATAGGCTCGTCTCATAACTCATAAGTAGAGAGGGAGAGAGAGAGAGCTTCCTTTCCAATACAGAAGAAACTCTTATTAGAAAGACAGCTCATTTGAGAGAGACGAAGATAGCACGTGTCGAAGAGCATGCATAAAGAGCGTGTAAGAGATTTTGACCAAACCAACTAATTAAAGAGAGAGAGAGGATAGCCATTCAAATGGATTAATTTGGTTCATAATTAGTTCTATCGCCAAAAAAATAACAATTGTCTTTCTTTTTTTTTGATGATAAAAGTTGGTTAATTAGTTTTGTTTATAAAGTCTAATTAAAAAGAGAAAACAAAATAGAGCAATTTGGCTTAAGTAGAGAGAGACAAATGTGGGGTAAAGTCTACACTTTAAATGTCTATTTGGTTTTTAAATTTAAGTTCTTGTCATCAAATATTTAATTTCAGATATATGTTATATCAATTAACATCAACTATATATATATTTCTTTGGATTGTTTTTTGTTTCTCAAACAACACGTTTTTTTTTAATAGTAGAAAGAATTTATTTTTTTCCCCAATAGTAGAGAGAATAAAAGAGTGGGAATGATATCATTATCATGAATAATTCAGAGAGATAACTACGAAGACTAGTTTTACTTATTTCTATTGTTTTGGTAAATTATATTTTTCTTAGGTTTTTTACTATATGAACATGATATTTGTGATATTGTATAGGATATATACATACAATATCATGACAAATGGCTAAACGAGATTGAAGATTGAGATTTATTTTCAACATATGTAGTCTTTCTATGTAAAGTTATAAATGTAATTGCTATTCAAAATAGTACTATTTGTTTACGTGTCTGTAGTATCTTATTACACATACACATGCGCATATAGAATTAGATAGATTTTTTTATATTTCTATATTGAAATTTCTTTTGATTAATATGATAGATTTGTTTAAAATTTTCTATATCGAGAATTTTTTATTATTATTTGCATTTATATCATATAATTTTTTATCAAAATATTCTTATATTGGAATTTGAGTTTTCAACTAAAAAATACAACTGAAATTGACTAAAGTAAACTGAAGGTGTGGCATTCTAGATGAAAAGTGTATAATATATATATATGTATGTATATTAAAATTAATTTATTTAGGATAAGAATAAAATATATGATAATTAGTACTAGATCGAAAATTTATCTGTTGTATTGGTTCAACAGGTTAAGACTCCCAAATCTACTTAAACTCATGTTAAAATTTTCTATTATTGATGAAAACTCGGAATTAGTCATGATCGATTATCTTTTAAATTTCTATGAAAAGAATTATACAAAGGTTTAAATTCTATATGTTTTTTTTATATAAAATGTCAAATTTATTAATCAACAAAAAAACTTTTCTATATGGTTAGTCGAAGAATTTTAGACTGAATACCATCGTCTTTCCATCTAAACCTAAATAGTTTATCTCTCTAAAAAATGTCATATTACTTTTAAACTGCTTCTTTTTTGAGGTCTAAGAAGTTTTACCACTATATTACTTCTTTTTTTTTTTTTCACTATATTACTTACATTTGAGTTATTTATTTGATTTTTTTATATTCCAAATAATATGTTTTTTTTAATATTCTTGCATATAGCTTTTTTTTTTGTCATCATAGCTTTTTCAATTTTTATAAGAATTAGCATCATGCATATTGTAATGTCTTTTGTTTTTTACATACAAATTAATATTAAATACATATGGTAATTATAAAATTTATTATAAGCTACAACCTGGTTAACCTCCTTTTTTTGTTTAACTTGTTAACTTGATTCTGAGATATACATACACTGACATATGTGTAAAATACTAGGCTTATGACTTATGATAAGCTCCAAACTTGCAACGAACTATTGACGAAAATAAACACAAAATAAAAGAGATGATACGTATACAAACGATCATGTATTGCTCTTGACCATTTTTTTTTTTTTTTTGCTCTTGATTTTTTTTTTAAGAAATACTTGCTATTTTCCTCTCACGTTAACGTACACCCAGCCAAATAACTCTAATATATATCTTAAACGTAATCTGATTAGCGAAAAGGAAAATAAGAATTTGACTTCTATATTTATATTTCTAATGATATGACTTTAGCTTAAATTGCAGACATTTTTCTTAGTTGCACGAAATTTATCAATTGACTTGGTGGAGCGGAAAAAAATATAATAATCAAAACATAAAAATATATTAATTTTGGCTGCTTCCTTCATAATATCAAACAAAAGTTTTACCAAGAAATGATTCTCTCATTTTGTAAAATTAATTCATGCATATACATACGTTGTATATACAAGATTACAATCACATATGCGATATGTGTATAATATAAATACATACAGATTAGTGTGTAGAGCCTCTATTTTTTTTTGTGAAACCATAATCGGAACATATCCTGAAGCTTCGGGATATGCCTTCTAGATCAACAAGTATGACGGATGTGCCTTCTAATGCATGCAAGATTTTCTAGAGTTTAAAACCAAATTAAGGTGAAGATTTTGTTGAGCCACCAAACAAAAAAAAAAAGAAATGCATGTGTAGAGAGGCCTAATTTAAATTTTCATATTTTGTCTATTGGTTTACTAATAAATTCGCGTAGTAAGAGGGGAACATTTTCGGATAATGCAAAATTAAAATAATATACCTAGATTCATGTTTTCGTTATGCTTTTTGTTGATATATAAAACAACCAAAATTTCTTCCTCCACGGCTCCACCCCATTATCATAAAACAATTAGCATTTAAAATCTAATTCCCGATCGATCATAACTTGTTTTATCTATTCTTCAGACCGAACGGGTATATATTGACAAAACAATTGTTGAATTTTGAGCTCGTCAAAACCATTTTCCCCAACATTAAAATTATCGGCGACTTTGCTACGGCTATTGTCAACAAAATGTAGTGACACTTGTCTCGCCCTGGTTCATGCTCCTCAATTAATCTATCAAATATAAAAATAATGGGAAACGCGCGTTTCATATTTGAAATCATTCATTACAACAATACAAAGAAAACGTAAATAAATTCATAATGTTTCAGCATGACAAATCTAGTAGCTTTAGGATAAAATGGACCATCATACAAAGGTTGGAGATAAATCTGGAGATCTGGAGAAAATCTTATTATTATCTCCCTCAAATATCATCTTTTTGTAGCTTCGAGATCAAGCATTTTGTATCGCTTGCCCAACACATAATTCTTCTTCGAACGCGCGCCGGGTTAACTGACTCGAATTTTTAATTATATATGTTGTCCACCGTACATACACGTTTCTTTATCATCTCTAAAAATCTTATTAAATCTTATCTATTGTCCACATTTGTATTCATATATATAGTTACAAATTTGAAGTGTGAGACGTGAAATATGTATATACACACATGGTCCATGAATAAAAATATAACTACGTGTTTTTTTTTTTTGGGTTCAAAAACTACGTGTGTATGTAATTCAAAGATTAGATTCACGTAACTTAATAATATACGAAATTAATTCAAAAAAAAAAAAAACTAAATATCGAAAAGGTAGATCGTTCTTCGACCGACCATTTTTTCATAACATGCAGACCTTTATTTGCGTGCCTGACAGAAGCTTACTTTATATAGATTTACGTTGGCAATTTCCTAATTGGGAAATCTTGATATATCTTTTGTTTTTTTTTAATTGAATAAACAATTATATCTCTTTGATTGATTTGTTATTGCCTTAAAAAATAGAATATTTTGAGGGGAGATAGGAAGGCGACAAATGATATATGGGCACCATAACGATCATTGATTAATAATTTAATATCTTTAACAAAAACAAATTAATAGACGTACCAAAAAAGGTATATATTTGTCACAACTGATACGAGTTATGTCCCGATAAGGCGAAAGATGGAATGTATATAAAATTTGTATAAATAAACTAAAACCCCGTTTCATCAATTCTACCCTTTTCGCATTAATTTCATAGTGACAACACAACGTAAAAGACTTTATTGAGTCAGTTCGCTATATTGTCGATATATGGCCAGTATTTTTGTACATTTATGTACGCATACGCATACACGAAGCCACACTTTCTCTATTGTTTTTGTTAAGACTCTTTATGACTCAATGTATCTATTTATGTTATAAAGAGAGGAAACAAATTAGGTGAACTGAGGGTAAGTTTTTGGTTAGATAAGTGATAATTCCAAAAATATAACTCGGTTTCTATTATTCGTGACCAGAAACACAAGACTATGAACCACACTAATCAGCATTTTCTAAAACTATTTGTCTTTTAAATGGATAGGAATAGCAACAGGAGATCGATTCAACTGCAAGAAAAATTAAACGTTAATATCCTGAAAACTGAAAGGTTAATAATTTCAATATCTCCTTTGATAAAACAAGTAAAAAAAATTCAATACTCCTAATTCAAAATTCAAATATACATGCTAAAGTATGCAAATATCTACATTCGGACAAGGCTGCCTGAAAAAGATCTCGGCGATGTAACTTCCACGTACTTGCTTACGTATACATACAATCTACTCATATAAATTTCTTTAAAGAAATTAATTAGTTATGCATATATATTGTGTTATATATATAAGGATAAAATAAAACAACTTCACAAAAGTGGAGTGTCAATTAAATAAAGTTCAAGCCTAACGCCTAACCATGGCCAAGAGAACTTTAAGAATCGTGTAAGGATAATTTACATGTGGCCAGCTTCGCACACGTGTCCACATATCTCTCTCTACACGACTTCTAGGGTTTCAATTCCGTATCCCAAACTGATTCATTTATATACATTAATTAAAACGTTGGATTCTCCATTTGTATATGGCTCTCTTCGTATATCTTTACGTGTTTGGTACTGAGTATATGATCATGTTGTTCTCTTACGTGTTTTTTGTCATATGAAAACCTCATCAAAATGTAATTAATTATCTATTAGGTTGTAA